GGTCCTTGCCCAGCCCGGGGGGCCCTGGCACAAAGATGGTCCGGGGGTGCCGGGTCCGGGGTGCCTCCCTGCCAGCGGCATCGCCCCGCACGGAACGGGAGCGCCGGCCCTCGGAGGCACCGAGTGCCTTATTCCCATGGGGAAGATCACACGCCTGGCTCCGCACCATCGAGGAAGGGGGGCTGGACCCCCCGCCCCGGAGCTCTCGCTCAGGCCTGTGCAGCCGGTGCCCTGCCCGGCCCCCACCCCAGGGGCACCGCAGAGGTGCCCGCCCTGCGGGCCGAGCAGGGAGCGAGGAGAGCCCGGCTCCATCCCGTGGGAAAGCCAGCTCAGGTCGGTGCTGCTGGCGAGGAACGCTGGTTAATGCAAAGCCTGAACGGGGTTTTATGTTGTCTCCATCGCACAGGGAAGTGCGTCCATCGTCGCTGTTGCTGCTACAGTTAGTTCTAAAGGAACTGATGATTCACCACTTAACTTGCTCCCCCCCTGCTCCCTCCACCTTTCTTTAGGTTTAATAAACTGGTCTGGAGCCAACTGCAGCATCAGGTTAGTAATGACTTTTAAGCACCATTTATGCTGCTATCGTGGCAATTTAAATTGTCACCTACTATTAACAGGTTTGAGCTGAGAGCATCGCACTGACAGTGCAATTAAATAAAGAAACTCTTTTCTTTGGGTGTCAGAGCAAACACATTTTAAATAAGGGTTCAGAAGCACCTTGCTAATTTAAACTACAGTATAGCTTTCTAGTGAAGAGTAATACCTGATGCAGGGATTTTGTCACTAAGACACTTAAAGGAGCAACGTGCCAAAGGAGCCCAGCAGCCTTAGAAACTCTCTTCTCGACAAACTGTGCTACACAAGCAAAGCCATCATTTCTCAGCAAATACCCATGGAACGACATTAATCATGTTCCTAAAGGGCTCTGATTTCCAGACAGGCAGTTTCCAAGAACAAATTGCTTTACTGGAAATCCATCTGATCCTCTGTCTCTAGCCACAGCAGTTACCTTTCAGAAACCCACTGTGTATGGCACACTCTTCTTGTCTCACGTGCCTTGGAACTGCTCCTCCTTCCCCACCAGCTCCACCCCAACGTCCTCCTTCTCTAGATCTGGCCCTTCTGCACTGGGCACTGCCTGGTCCTCCTTTAGCATAGACCTCTGGGCTCCTGATCTTCAAGTCTACTCCACAGGTTGTATATCTTTTGGTATCAGGTAAAACCCCTTCTGCTGCAAGAGGGAAGAGCATGCTGCTATATCACCTGTAAAAAGTGTTTAACTTCCTAACTGAACTACCCAGCACAAATATTACAAACCACAGCACCACAAAAATGTTTGCTCAACTTACACTGATTGTCCTTATTCCTGTGGAAGAGGCAGCCTGACAGCACAGCCTTTTTGTTCTTTAAAATAGTTACTAGAATCAGGCAGAATAACACAACTGCCGTTTGGATGTCTGTGCCTTAAATAAGAAGGTGAAAAACACCTGAACAGCTTTAATGGTTTGTATTTTATTTTAATGGCTTTAAAGCTTCTCCAGGGCGTTAGAGTGTCCCTTATGTTACAACCAATATGGTTTCTCTGAAGTGTATTACATCTGCTGGAAAGAAATGAATCATAACATTTAAGCTCCCCAGTCCAATTCTCAGTTGCTACAGTTATTGCTCTGAAGGACACGAAGACACATCTTGAGATAAGTATCCATAGGATGGTTATGGACAATTACATTTCTAGCTACCGAGCACTCCACATTTTACCACTTCACTGCAAAGAAGAAAAGCAGCAAGAGAGAGTGATTCATAGCTAACCTTCACAAAAATAATATGGAAGCGAATGGGATCTAAAGTGGTGATGATGATGATGATGTAACAATACAGTAATAACAATAATTCTCTTTGCAAAATTATTAATACTATTCTGCTTAGTTTCTTTTTAAGAAAGGGAGAACAAGCAGAGGAATATACTGGTGTTCTGAGGAGAAAGAAAGGCACCGCATAGTTGTAGAAGAAGAGAATTGGAAGTACATGTGACTAGGGCTTTTTACTTCATAATTTTGGCATCAGAAAAGTGGCATATTTGTTAAAATGAAAACTTTTCATGAGAGCAACCCTGTTTTCCAGTTTCAGTGGAGCTCCTGCTTTATGCAAAGCCCCAACATTTGTCCTCTAGCTAGCTTTTTTGTCTTCAGTCTTAATTTCCAAGACCTCTCTTTTCCAAAGCTTAAAAAAAAACCCTTCTTTTTTCCTTTTTTTTTTTTTTTAATAGAAAAAAGATTTTTATGAGACAGAAGAAATAATTTACTGTCGAGATCTAATTTTGGATTAGAAAATAAAGAGGTGTGTGAAATGGGATCAGACAGAAGCACTCTTCAAGGACTAACAGCATGTGCTGCAAGGCTATGGGAGTGTGAAATGACAACAGGCTCAAGTATTAGTCAAAGCAGGTGAGGGAAAAAATGAGTGACATCTGCAAAAAATAATGTACCCCTCTCCATTCGGCAAACATCCACACAGAATTAAAACTGGGAGGCAGTGTGGTAATACCATGTGATAAAGCAGGGCACTACCTTCGATAGCACCTGAGTAGAAGCAGCTGTTGCCCCTTAACTTGGGAGCACAGCTTCACCCAAGCCCTGGCAGGCTGAAGAGTGTTCCCACTTTCACAGACATCGCAGTAAAGGAAAAAACTTGGCCCGGGTTTCCCAAGGAGACCTTCTAGACACAAGTTTTGCGCTTCACTGCGGTTGGGCGGAGCAAGCACCTCCTCTCTCCCCTTTTCTGTTCCCCAGAAGAGCCCTCAGGGTCTTTCCATCAGTGAAAAGTGAGACCCCTGGTGCTGGACCCTCGGATCCGAATGCCAGAGGCTAGGAGAGGAAAGAGAGGAGAAGGAGCTTCCTGGCATTTCGTGTGTGTGCACGCCTGTGTGCAAACTATCTGGGAATGGCAGGGGGCCAAAATCCCTGCCTCCTTCTGTCCCCACCCCATCCCTGCTGCCAGTGGATGATGATCAACGTGATGATGGTGGATCACCACGAGAGATGATAATCACCGTGATGAAAGTGATGATCACCATGATGATCACCTTGTGCTGCCTCTGCTATGGCAGAAATGTACTCATGACACAGCCTTGGCCTCCTGGAGTCATGCCTCCTTCAGATGAGGCAGATGATGGCAGAGCCCTGCAGCCTGGCCGTGAACTCAAGGCTGTGCACAGCTCCATCCCAGCTCAGCCAGGTTCAGCTGGAGGGCCTTCCCCTTCATCCAGGTTTAATCCCACTGGGACAGGCAGAGGTGCATGTGTCACTGGCAAGGAGCTTGCTCTAGGTTTGAGCCTCTCCACCCCTTACAGAGCAACTTTCATTTTGGAGCTTTACCCAGGTTACACAATGGAAAGGAAATGTTTGTTCATGGGCCCTTAGTGCAGTGAAATAATGCTCCCAAAGAAGCAGCTAGACAGGATTGTACAATTAATGGCTTTAGGATGATTACGTCAGAACAACCTCGACTGCAGGGAGTGGATCTGTTCTGTAAGACCCAAAGAACCAGCCAATGTTAAAACAAGGCAGTAGCTGCAGAGAGGCAATCACAAGGTGCCTTTTTTTTCCCCTGCCTAGCCCCTCTGCCAGGGCTTGGTTGGGAGAACAAAGGGCCAGGTTTAAATACGGTCATTTGGTTCCCTTCCTCCCCTTCTCATTCTCCATAAGAAAGTGACACTTAACCATCCTCATGCTCAGGGAATTCATTTTCCCAACTCCTTTTCAGACATAAATCAATTGCCTTTACAACATTATTTTAGGTGAGGACGAAAAAAAACAGAACATTTGCAACATAAAGGACAATATAACTTATCTATGTTTATGTTTTAGCTTTTTTCCTGCTTCTGTCCTCTGGTTGGGCAACTGCCAACCTGCCCTCCAGAACAACCCTAGTCTGAGTGTTTGGGACCATTGGGTGCTGTGCCCTCGGCTGGCACCCCAGCTGTGCAAAGAGACCTTCTCTTGGCCCTCGTGCCATTAGCCACCCTTTGCTCCTGCTCACCTAAGCAGAGACAAAAGCCCTCATCTCCACTCTTGTTTTTCAGATAAGAAGAAGCAGGTCAAGCAGACATTTTCCCACAGGTGGTGGGGACACCTTTCCCACAGGTGGGGAGCTTCCTCAGCATCTCCTTCCTTGGGACAGGCTGTACTGCTTGTCCCTACAGCTGGGGCTCTTCTCCCCATCCATTTATTGCCAGACATTTCAGCAGGCCACTTGGCCCAGTGCCTGGGCTCTGTTGCCCTTGAAAGCTCTACATCACTTTAAGGGATGGCTTGTAACAGAAGCACTTCTCAGACCTAATGAAGCAGCATCGGCCACACTCACACATCTCAAGCCTGTTCTCCAGTCTTTTCCTTCAGACTCCCTTCTTTTCCATGAGGTATCAACAGGGCTTCCCTCCTTTTTTTTTGTCTTTCTTCCCCACTGAAATCCTTGCAGGGAATGGGGAGGGGTGGCAGTTCACTTTCACTTTAGATTTTTGCCAGTGAAGTTGTGTGAAATACACAAAATACATTGTGAGTAATTTTCTGTTGATTTTTCAGTTATATGGGAAGCAACAGGCACAAACTGGGAGGTTCCACTGAACATGACAAGATACGTCTTCACTGTGAGGCTGATCAAGCCCTGGCAGAGGTTGCTCATAGAGGCTGTGAAGTCTCCGTCCATGGAGATGTTACAGTCTCAGCTGGACACGGCCTGGAGCAACCTGCTCTCACTGACTCTGCCCTGAGCAGGAGCCTGTCTGCAATTCTGTATAATCCAGCACGACAATAAGATGTTTCTCTAAAGCAACATCACTTGCTGTCCCCTGGGTCATAGGCATGGATGGAGAACTAGTACTGGAATACAGATGGGAGAGATGTTTTCCACTGGTACATGAGGTAATGAGTTCCTTAGGCACAGGCACCTCTCCTGAAATGGTTACTGACTTTGCTGCATCATGGCTTCTCAGGGACACTATCAGCTCCACACAATTTTATACAGGTCAATAACTTTCCAGTGGGATAGAAATAGCTTTCCCAAAGGCTACTACAGGCATTGGAAATGCAGGCAGAAAGCAAGTAAAAGCAAGGAAACACCCCTTCTTACAGAATTGCAAGAAACAGAAGCACATTAATGCATTTGGGAACCCTACTGAGAATGTAACAATGCTGCACTTTGTGTCTATCTATTTATAAACACCAGAGGCATTATATCTGACTTTTAAAAAGTGAACAGGTTCTTCAAGTGTTACAAAAATAGCCCAAGAATCATTAAAAGCATGGTTTTTATTTAAATAATTTTTTGTCAGTATT